CTGATAAAGATTGACACGAAGATTTTGATATAATCCTATGAATAATCTGGTTAGCGGCGTACCACGCCACCATAAATTATTTTCATAAGAAACTTGAATTCAACCCTCATAATGAAGAGTCATTTACAAATTAATAAAAAAATTTGATGTTATTTTCTCAAGGCAATTTCCTTATTACATAGTGTTTTAACTCAATTGTCTTCTCTACATTAGGCAAACATAAGAAAGAAGTTTGCATTCAAGAGATCCCGATAATCTAAGATTTTTTGAATATGTTTCATGATGAATTACCCAGACTACCAGTGGATGGAGAAGTTGAGTTCACCATAGATTTTCAGCCTAACACCTAGCTTATATCGGTTGTCCCTTATCGCATGAGCTATGTTGAGATGAAAGAATTGAGAAAACAGATCAATGAGTTGCAGGATAATGAATTCATCCGACATAGTGTGTCTCTTTAAGGTGCTAAAGTCATATTTGCAAAGAAATAGGATGAAATATTAAGATTATGTATTGACTACAGATGATAGAACAGAGTCACGATCAATAATAAGTACCTCCTCCCCAAAATTGATGACATTTTTGATCAATTATAGGGTGTCCAGATTTTTTCCAAAATTGACTTGTGTTCGAGATTACCATCAGATAAATATTAGGACAGAAAATATTTCCAATACAACTTTCAGAATTTGGTACGAATATTATGAGTTCCTGATCATACCATTTGGATTAACCAATACACAAACCATTTTTATGGACTTGATGAACATGCCAAAACAGGCAAAATCGGCCAAAATTTGCCAAAATAAGACAAGTTGAGGTAAACTACCGTTGTGGACGGCAGAGCTGGCAGTCGTGTCAGAACTCAAAAATTGGCATGAAAGAGTTTTGGACACCGATTTTGAATTTTAAGGTATTTAACGAGTGTTTTGGATTCCACATAAAAAAATTCAAGAAATCCAATACTCGTTAAGAGACATAGTAGACAGTTCAACGTCTCAAAATACTGATCTAAGTAAATATCTCTCACCCTATTCACCGTTACGGTAAATTGAGGCCCAACGATGTATAATTTCGTATTTTTATGAAAAATTAGAGAAACTTAAAAATAATTAGAGATTACTAGTGGAGTTGGAATCGGTTAGTTCACAATTATCCCGATTTTCTGTTTATTTTCTTGTACTGCTCTATTTGCTTGTTACTATATGGTGCATGTTATAAGTTTATATTTTCTATAGTCTTATCGATTTATTTGGTTTATTCGATTATATACTGTCAGTATGAATATAGTTTAATTAATTTGTAGATGTAATATGAGATAGTGATTTGCATGATTAGTTATTTTGTTGATGAGAATCTCTATGTAAAAAATTTACTGGACACCGAATGAAATGGCAGATGAGCCCGACATATATAGAACCCTATCGTGAACGTTATCTCAGTCAAATAGGGCTTAAAAATCCATTGTCAAAAAGGTTTGAGAGATACAGTTCACCCTTATACTGGATTGGGTATCGAGACGATAGAATATTTGACGCTCATTACCGGACAGGGTATGAGAATGACCGGTTAATTGTTTAAATTGGATATTAGGTTCACGAGTAGGGGGACATCCCTATAGACTCCCAGGAGTATCAGTAAGCAGATAAGAAAGAAAAATTATTATCTTTTGTTATCTTATGCGTGAAAATAAAAAATGGTATGAATATGGGTTTTCATATGTTGTTTTTGAAAAACTTGATACAGTAAGTATGGAATAAATAATTTTTTTTTGTATATTAAATGAATTTACTCAAATTAAAGACTCTGTTAGTTATTTTATTATTTTTACCAATATTCAGTTTTTCCTATATGTGATTAATGTGATATTCTTGTAATTCACAACTCGAATTTTCTTCAAATGCTAGTGAAGTCTGTCATAAAATGCTTATTTATTCACTTATTTTTAATTATTGTTTGATCTTTAGAAGATACATTCTCGTAATTCTATTGGACATTCTAAATTATTGTGTAAAGAATGTAAACTTTAACTCTATTTTTTGCTTCCGCATTTAAATTATAAATTTATTTTCTTTAAGGTTCTGAATCTTTATATTCTAACCATAATATATCAGTCGAGAGTTCCAATAATTACTTAGTATTGGGTGCAAATACTTATGAAGGCGGAGAATTGAAATTTCATTGATTTATGGCTCAAAAACCACAAAAATAATAAAAAATTAAATGCAATATTACTAGTTAAGACATGTTACATGTAATAAAATAATAGTACTTTATAATACAATGTTTAAAATAAATAAAAAATTATAAATTAATTTTAAAAATATAAATTTACATATAAATTTATAATGTAGTTTAAAAAATTATAATTAAGTAGTATTTGTATAAAAACATTCGGCATATTTATTTGCTGGTCAAGAAAAAACATATTAAGTTTTGATATTTTCTAACTTTTTAAATAATCATAACAAAATTTTTTTAGATTTCCTACCTTTTTATTTATTTCCTCGATTCCTTCCCAATTTTAAAAAAAGCTTAAAAGAGAATATATATGAAATTAATTCAATCAATATTTTCTTTTAAAATAAAATAGAACGTTTATTAGAGGTCTAAAATCTTCAGTTGGATTCTCCTTAGAAAGAAACCATGGAAGAAGGATGGTCCGGCGCTGCAGGTGATTGCCCCACTCCCTGCAGACACCTGATGATGTCCTGGTTGCTGAACTGTGACGCTTTTTTTTTTTCTTTTCTTTTTTTCTTTCCCCTTTATTACCGTTAATTTGTTCTTTTCCGTTAACGGCGCCCGTTAGACAAATAAAAGACCTGTGCGCTTCTCTTCTTTTTTCGCACACGGCACATCGAAAACTAAAAACAAACATAACTCCCGTATCAGTAAAAATATTTTCTTGAAAAAGAGTAAAGAAAAGGAGAGGAAGAAAGAGAGAGCTTCTTTAGTACGGATAGCACAGTGAAGCCAACGATACCTTACCAACTGTAGTCTTGTCTGGGAGAGGTTCTTCGCTATTCGAGTTTCGACTATCTAATGGCGATTCCAGCTCTGAGTCATTTATCGCAAGTTCTGGTTCCGGTGACCATATATTCACCGCTGAATACTCCTTCTTTGACTGCTGCAAATGAGTTCCAATTGTAGTGCTGCTTTGCTGTTCTTATGCTCACTTGAAGCGTGATCTCGCCGTTGATTTGTTGGGATATTGCAGATCTAAGTTGTCCGGGTCAATCAACGGCGTCGGTTATGTCGGTGCTTGCTGTTTCGGACACTGTCGCTGATTCTAATGGTTACACGTCGTGTCATTTCGATTTACTTCGTGGTATGGTTTTCTTTCTTGATGGCGTTTAAAGTGTTTGTTCATTCTACCGTTTGGTTACTGAAAAAACGCCAAGAAATTATGAGAAATTGGAATTTTGACTCTTGCCTTATTCGTACTTTGCTCAGCACAAATAAACTAGAGTTCCGAAGCAATTATGCTCTTTCCCCCTTTTGTATAAGTTGATGGAAATCTAGTATGAACTCAGCTAAGCATTTCTATTGGAGAAGTTGAGCTGGATTTTCGAACTTTAAGGATCGGAGAGGATGCTCTCTCGTCGTTAAAAGAAGGGATGAACTAAGCTAAACAGTTGTATAGACAAGAAATTATGCTATTTCCCCCTTAGGTTTTCACTCCATCATTCCGAATCGGGTTAAACAAAATCACTCTCAACTATGCTCAAATGGACTATTGAGTAGGGTTTTTTTTTCTCTGTTCGGTCGTCTTTATTTCTGTAAAGAAGAGAACAAAGAAGGCATGCAGTATGTTTTTCTTTTAATTGCTGTCTTGCTGGTCCTTGTTACCAAGTGGTAGGTTATTGAAGTTCGTAATTTAGAACACTATTCTCAATGGAGCATCTTATTATTGCGGGTTTGTTACATTTTGGAATTGCTAGTGTATCTAGGTTTTTAAATTAATATAATATTTTGAACTAGTGCAATACATATAACAGTTTGATCAAATGCTTCCCTTGGTTTCTTTTGGTTGTGGATAGAAACTAGGAAGGGAAGGAAAACAAATTTTGGATTGATGCGTCTCTAGCATGATTTTGAAGGCTAAATGGTTTTCTCTTCAAGCCACGAACTTTCATTCTAGTAAAGTTGTTATAATGGGAGATACAAGGTTTTTTTTTAAAATAAATAATGGGAGATACAAGGTTGAAAAAGTTACAATATTGTTTTGAGGAATGTTAAATGGATTATTAGGTTGATTCTTTACATCAAAAGGAAACTGCAGGCATTGGAAACTTTTATGATATGCAGGAACTAATTTAAGTGTTGTGTAAGAAATGCCTTACCAGGTGTTAGTATCTCACACACTTGTTATAGTTAATATTTTTGTACCTACATTTCTAATTCTTTTATCTTTACTTTGAACGCAGGAGCATTTAGGAAGTTCCATTTGTTATTGAAGCTGTTGCTTGCTCTGTCTTGCATAATTTGTAGTACGAATTCTGAGTTGGCTGATAATCTGCTCAAAGCACCGTCAGTATCTCCAAGTAGATCACCTTTGACTGCACCAGCTGTTCCTGACCTGCCTCTTCCAGCTGATCTTCCAGGGCTTCATGGGTCACGAAAAAGGCATTTTTCCCCACATGGGGCACCAGGACTCAAGATTGCCCCAGCCCATCCTCCTTTCTACGATCCCCTGGTCACTTCTGGTCACCCCTCTGCAAGTTCACATTTATCGAGGCCATTGATGAAGAGAAGTAAGTTTGTGCCTCCTAGTGCTGGCTTGGCTGATATAGCTCCAGTGCAATCCAGTAGCGGTGCAGTACCTTCTGGTTTAGCTCAGCCACCTTTATCTCCTTATGTCTCTGGTAAGAAGTTATCTACTGCATGTTTTCTTTCTATTTCACTTCTTGTTTGTTTGTATTACTTACAAGTTATCCATCATGATTGATGGTATATTTTGCTTTCTAGATAAACGATTCAGCATTTGCTAAGAGTATCCTAGTAGACTCTCAGACATCTGGATTCTTCTAAACTTATTTTAACTAATTGCTTAGAAATTTTGGTCTTTATGCTTATATTAACTTCTCATTGGGCAGATTGTTGCAAACCAGATACAGTATTGAAACGAGGGAGTCGCGGTTGCCACTGTGTGTATCCCATAAAGCTTGACCTTCTCCTCTTAAATGTCTCACAAAACCCTAACTGGAATGCTTTTCTAAATGAATTTGCTGGCCAACTTGGTCTTCACTCTTCCCAAATTGAGCTGATAAACTTTTATGTACTCAGTTTATCAAGATTAAATATTTCAATGGATATTACTCCACATACTGGAATCAGTTTTTCTGCCAGTGAGGCATCTGCGATAAACTCATCACTTTTCACCCACAAGGTTCATTTTGACTCTACACTGGTTGGTGATTACAAGCTTCTCAATCTTACCTGGTTTGAGCCTCCAGCACCTTCTCGAGGTAAATGCCAACAAGGGTTTCTATTCTAAGATGCCATTATTTTAAGTGCATTGGAACACTTATTTTCTTTTTTTTACATGCTTCTCCAATGTTATGGAGTCCAGGGTTAAGTCGAATTTCATTCTTTTTAAATAAAAATTGATTTTCAACATCATATTATATTGCTCTTATTGCATACCTAAAATTTTTCCTTGTCAGTAACTTTTTGACATAAAATTAACTATTATTGTGATAGGTCTTCTATTTTATAATTGGTTGTTGGATATTTGTGGTTGCTAATCATGTAAATTGTATACTGATGATAACTTCAACCTGCTATACAGCTCCTCTTGTTGCTTCTTCCCCTGTGGAACCACCAACACACTCATCTTCGTCATCCCCGGCAATAAGCTCGTCAAAAAAAGGAAAACATTCAAGTTTGGTTCTTATATTTGGTATTTCTGCCAGCATACTCATCATTGGTATCATTTTTGTGGTTATAATCTGCTCATGTGCCCTCCGTGACCGAAAAACTACAGTACCTGCTGAAGAAACCAGTAAGTATATTAAATAGAAGTTCCATTTTTTTTTCGGTATCCAGTTTAATTGGTTTGTAATTTTTGCAGTTACTCTATGTTACTCTATGAATAATTGCTGATAGATTTCAATTATAAATTAATTATTAATGTAGCTTTGGTCACAACATTTTGAATGGATATCAGTAATGTGACCATATGTTCCAATCTGACCACAAAAATAGCAGCAGATAAAAGGATATAAAAACTTGAAGGTTTTGGTTTCCTTGAGATTTTGATATGGCCTTGGAGAAGTTAGAAAATCTATAATTATGTAATTTCATCTTTTGCACTGCTAGAACTCCAATGACATTGAAAACAAGCTACTGCTTTTAATCAGCATTTAAATGAATTTGGTTAAAGAGCATCATAACATGCGATAAGCATTGCATTTGATTGAAAATTAAGGTTTGCACTTGATTTATAAAAGTTTTACTACATTCCTAAACACAATCACCTATTGGAGCAAGTAATTCACCCTTTGAGTTTACATGGCAGTTTCAAAAGTTTTTGCTTTCCTATTTCAAATAGAAAATTTATTCATGAGACTTCTCATGTTATGTGTGTTTAATCAGTTGAAAGGAAAATTCTATGTCTTTGATGAAATAATAATTTTTTTTCTTTTTAGATGAAAGTAATGATGATTTGAAAATGACAATATCTACTCTGCCTATTGTATATTGGTTTTGTAGTTGACTGGCAACTCAATATTGCTCTTTAAAGAATTTCATCTTCTCAAAAAAAAAAAAAAGGAATATAACAGAAATCCTTTTTTGTTAATGTTACTCAAGTCTTTGATCTTTCATGAAGAGATGAAAAAATCGCCCAAGACCACTCACAAGCTTGAATAGACAATAGAAGTATGGTTGGATGTTTTTCATCTCTTCTCATTTTTGTCATTTTCTCAGCAAAGCCAAGGACAGCAGATGCTGTTCCAGCCGGAGGATCTTTTCCCCATCCAACCAGCACAAGGTTTCTAGCATATGAAGAACTCAAAGAGGCAACAAACAACTTTGAACCTGCAAGCATACTAGGAGAGGGTGGTTTTGGCAGAGTTTTCAAAGGTATCTTGAGCGATGGTACAGCTGTGGCAATTAAGAGGCTTACCAGCGGAGGGCAACAAGGGGATAAAGAATTTCTGGTTGAGGTTGAGATGCTGAGCAGGCTGCATCACCGCAATCTTGTGAAACTTGTTGGTTACTACAGCAGTCGTGATTCTTCACAGAACTTACTATGTTATGAGCTTGTTCCAAATGGAAGCTTAGAGGCCTGGCTCCATGGTAATTTGTGTTCTCAAAAACTGAAAGCCTGTCAGCAATTTTAGAAGTTAGTACAACTTGTTATTGTAATTTGCTTAATTAAGTACTATACAAACCATGGTAAGATACTGAAATCTTTTATCAAAATTTGACTCACAACATATAGTGTTCTTTTGCCTAAGGTCCTCTTGGAGTAAATTGTCCTTTGGACTGGGACACTAGAATGAGGATTGCACTTGATGCTGCAAGAGGACTTGCATACTTGCATGAGGACTCTCAACCATGTGTTATCCACCGAGATTTCAAGGCATCCAATATATTACTGGAGAACAATTTTCATGCTAAGGTTGCCGATTTTGGCCTTGCCAAGCAGGCACCTGAAGGGAGAGCGAATCACCTATCTACACGAGTAATGGGCACATTTGGGTACAAACCATCTTCTCAATCTGACCCTCTTATATTGCTAAGTTAAATTGAATATTAAAACGGGTTGGAATCATTTTGTAGGTATGTAGCACCTGAATACGCTATGACCGGACATCTTCTGGTAAAAAGTGATGTTTATAGCTATGGAGTGGTACTCCTTGAATTGCTGACTGGAAGGAAGCCTGTGGATATGTCACAACCATCGGGGCAGGAAAACCTTGTTACTTGGGTTAGTAGACCCTAGATCAACTATTGTTCTTGATGTTTTTGGTTATTCAATCATTTACCAATCTGTGTCATGTTAAGTAAAATAAGTGAACTATATTGCTTCCAGGCCAGGCCAATTCTAAGGGACAAGGATAGGCTGGAAGAGCTTGCCGATCCAAGACTTGGGGGAAAGTATCCAATGGAGGATTTTGTACGGGTTTGCACAATTGCTGCTGCTTGTGTTGCACCCAAGGCAAGCCAAAGGCCCACAATGGGTGAAGTTGTACAGTCACTTAAAATGGTGCAGCGTGTTACAGAATATCAGGATTCAACATTGAACTCTAGCAAAACACAGCCCAACCTTAGACAGTCATCTACTACTTTTGAGTCTGATGGTACATCATCGATCTTCTCTTCTGGGCCTTACTCAGGATTAAGTGCCTTTGAAAATGACAACATTTCTCGGACAGCAGTTTTCTCGGAAGATCTTCATGAAGGAAGATGAGAGCATTAGGAAGGTAAGTTTAAATTTAAGGCTTTTCATTGCCAATACAGAGGCATGAGGAATTTTCCAGATTAGAAGATGATGGAATTTGGAAGAGGATTTTCTGAAAATTTAAGATTTTGTAAGATCAGTTGGGATTGGGAATGGGTTCTTTTGTTATACCTAGTGGAGAATCATTGTTCAGTTTTCCCCAAACAATGGTTCTTCACATGGTAGGCAAAATTTTGTATATATTGTCTTGTAGATTTTTGTATCGTGTTGGGGTTTCAAGGTTTTTATTTAATTCTTTTCCTTTATCCTCACAGTATGGTGCTTGTCCTTAAAATTTTGAAATTGTCCTGGAAATTTGAAAAGCTGTAGGTTTAGCAGATTGTCCGGAGAGGAGTAATGTTTTTTTATGCTAAAATTTTTGGTTTCTTGTTGCGCAATTAGATTGTCCCAAGTGTGTCACCCTCTCTATTATTCATGTATGGTAGTTTTCCCTTTCTCTTGTCGGGAATTCTATATTTGTTCGATATCTCCAAGTCACCATAATTGTGCATTAGAAACTCTAGCTTTCTGCTTTTATTTGACAGGGATTTTCAATCACCAGATACTGTTCTTTATGGCAGGTATATAGCAACATTAAGTTGTTAAAGAGTTTCACGTAATTAACAATCTAACGAAGGCCATAAATTTTCAAACAATAATTAAAATTAACTTTGCACATAACCATTATCTCAAAACAGAAACCTTTTATTGTTTCTGATAGTTAGCAAATTATAAATTAACGGCGAGTTAGGGCCTAAAATTAGACTTTGTATGTACAAATTTGGCATTGGCAATCCTATTTGCATGCCCAACCATCTAACCACCAGCCTCTAAAAACCCCACCATAGGACTCCCCTCACCTTCCCCATCCTCTCCCCCACCCCACCCATAGAGAGACAGAGAGAGAAGAAACAACAATGGAGTTTTTCAAGTCCATCTTCCTCCTCACCACCCTCTCTTCTCTGCTCTCCTCATTCTCCATCCAGGCCCATAACGTTGCTCCTTCCTCCGCACCCACCACCTCCCCCAATACTCAAATCTCCTTCACCGCAACAACTCCTCTTTTACGTCCCAAACCAATCGCCACAGAACTCATCCCTTCTCTCCCCAATCTCCCCCAAGTTGCCACCATGCTTTCTCTCAACATACCCACTCTCGACCTCTCCATCATCGACAACAACATTGAGACCATCTGCTCCGGCACCGATTACTTCACCGAGTGCCTCCTCGGCATCATTCCCCACTTCAATGATTTCGCCAAAGAGGGCATCAACCCCAGCAGCGTCCTGAAAATGGAGATGGCCACGCTCTGCGACAAAGCCACAGAGACCGTCAAGGAAGTCACCACCATGCGCGAACACTCCTCGACGTCGCTGGTCGTCTCGGGGATACTCGACACCTGCGTGGAGAACTACGAGTCGTTGCTCGAGGACCTTAAGGATGCGGTGCGGGCTCTCGAGATCCACGACTTGGGCAGGCTGGAGAGCCTCGTTAGCGCCACGTTGCAGGACATTGTCACCTGCTCGGACTCGTTCCATGAGAGGCCTGGAGTACGGTCGCCGTTGGCCGACGGTGATGATTTGCTGAAGAAGATGTGTAGCAACATCTTGGCCATCTCGTCGTCGATCAAATTTTACTGAATAACCAGATTTCTTAATGGGTATTGATTAATTTTTCGAGGAGGAGCAATGATATTGTTTGATTTGTTACTATATTTAAGGTAAATCATCTGGTCTGGATGTTAATCCTTGCAACACGACCATCCTGTACAAGGCCGGCATTACGTCCTATATTGAGTACGTTTTCAAACCATAATGGCTTATGAATTCACATGGGTATATACACACACACACACAGAGACAAAGACCAGAAAATTTATATATATAGATATGAAATTTTACGTATTTATGGTTTTGCAAGCAAACACAATATTATTTGAAGTCATTTTTTTTTATCTTTTTACTCCAATTTTTATGGATATATATTAGGATTGGGGACGTTAAAATAATAAAACTTGTTAAGGATGTTTAAATAATTAAGATTTTTAAAATTATAATTAGTACACTTAAATTTCTGTTTTATAATTTTGGCTAAACCTTTAAAATGAACCAATCATGTTTATGAACTATTGCACGAAGAAAATAGTCTCAAAAATTAACAACACCCTTAATTACTAAAGAAAGAGAATTAAACGGCATCTAACCAAATATTGCATTTTGAAGAAAATCGTACATTTAAAGATTAACTATTTTGTGTAATTTTATTTTAGATAGATTGAATATAAAATAGATATCACGAATTGTTAAAAATATAATAAGAAGGTTGTAATATTTAAGTTAAATATTTTGATAATTATTAAATGTAATTGTACTTGAATTATTGGTCAAAATCTTCTATATGTTTTACAAAATAAAGAAAATACGTCGAAAGGGAATTATATAATTATACATGAGTTATTAGTCAAAATTTTAGATGGGTTTGACAAAATAAGAAAAATATATTAGATTATATATTAACATAATGTATGACCCCGTTCGATAATTCTCTCAAATTTAGGAAGAAAATAAAAGTTGCAACGGAAAATTTTCCTCTTTCTTTGCATGCCTTAAATATTAGATTTATAATTCTCTTATTTCTTTATTTGATCTAACTCCTAGTTATTTAGTCGTTTAATGGAGTCCTGATTAACGATCGCCAATAAGAAGTTTGTTTCTTTATATCACTCTATGGATAGATTTAAATAAAATGTTTAAAACCGTTTATAAATATAATATAAATAATCTCAGAGTCTTCTAAATTATATGCTTTAATAATATTATGTAGACAATGACCATCCGATCCTTGTCGTGAAAGTTTGTGTTAATTAATGGTACAGAAGCTCAAAATGTGTCTTTATCTTGAAAATTATACGTTTTAACATCTTTATGTACTTTTGAATATATTTTCAGTTGTATCTTATGCAAATTAGTTTGAGATGAGTTAAAATAATTATAATGATCATACAATTAATTATAATTAATAAACAAGGTAAATAAAGCTAATACTTAATAAAGCGATATTGTATGCATTTTTTTTATGATATGTACTTCTATAGTTAATACTTTTTATAATTTAATATGAGAAATTAATTTATTATTAATTTTTCTTCAAATTTTATTGCATTAGGTTATATACTCTATAAATATGAAAGTTATTAACGGTGAATATGATAAATTTATAATATTTATATTTATAATATCATACAATTTGTTAGTAGTAAAATAAAATTAAATGCCCTTGTAAAAGTCATTCGGGTATTTTTATTTTTATTTTGTTTCAAAAGTAAAGTTTAATTAAGACTAGAGTTAAATAAATATCTATAAAATTAATGAATCAAATTAAATTATTTATTTTGTCACAAAAAAATTGTAGGTAATAAAATAATTTTTTATACTAAATAAATTTGATCTTCTAACATTATCAGCGTAGACTAATACATAGTTGATCAAGTACGACAAAAATTAAAATATTTTTTGTAAGAATGAGTTTCATTTTGGGATCTTCAAGAATAACCTAATGTTCATCAATAACAAATAAAACTTTATTTCTGATCATATTTATAAATTTAGAGTGACTAAATTTACTAACTTGACTAATAAAGAGTATCAAACAAATTATGTAGACGTGAAGATAAAAAAGAAAGAAAAATATAAAAAGAAAAAACAAAACTTCGTTCATAACCATATTTACAAGTTCAAATTAACTAAGTTTTCTAACTTAACTAATAAGGAATATCGAGGGATATATCTAGACGCAAAGATAAAAAGAAGGAAGAAAAGTGAAAGACCGAAAGGAGCAATTGGATGCATGAAGGGGAAGGGTGAGGAGGTATTTCATATTCCAACAAAAAAAAAGAAGGCATTTTGTAAATACCACAAATTATAGGGACCCTCATGGCATATTTGAAAAAGTTGTTTCATAACAGTGAGAAGCACTAGAGTGAATCGGGTGCGCACGGTTTTATCCTGCGCACTCAGACTTGCAGCGTAACCGTGTGTAGAGGAGAAGAGGGAAATAAAAAGGAAATGCCTAAAAGAGAGAAAGAAAGAAAGAGAACTCTGGAGAGAGAGGAGTGAGTGAGAAAGCCGAGTCGCACCGAGTTGGTTCGCCGAGTTAAGTGACCGAATCAAACATGCGAGGAAAAAAAAAAAAAAAAAAAAAAAACAACAGAGAGGGTCTGTTTGTTGTGTGTATTTTGTGAGTGTGTCCGGGATTTTGATGGTGTGGCAATAGCAAAAAAATGGTGAACGAGAAGATAATTAGTCTTTCTCTTCTTTATGTCTCTCCCTTCCTTATTCTCATCATTGTTACCTATTCTCCTCTAACTCTAACTCTTATCTTTAACCTCACTTCTCTCTATCTTAACCGGACGCTTCAGTATCGTCACATACCTTATAAATCTATTACATATAATACCATACGGTGGTTCTCTATTTCCCTTTTCTGTCATCAGGGTTTGCGGTTTTCTCTCGGGATATATAAATATTTATTTTCTACGGGCTGCGCTGTTTTTTCAGATTTCGCTTCGAGGGAGAAGGTAAGGGATCAATCTCTAGAGGGTTTCGGCGGGATTTTCTTTCTGGGCATGTTGCATTATTCTGTGTTGTGCGTTTCTTCGTCGATGGTGTTCTTGTGGTGTCGATAATATTTGCCCAATGTGTGTGTGGGTTAGTTTGGTGGCAGCCGGGGGTTGAATTTTGTTATCTTTTTTTTTTCTTTCTTTGTGTTTTTGGTTTACTTCTTGCTTTTTTCATGGATTCATGGGTAGGGTTTTTGATGCTTTTATCTGGATTTACTGATTCACTAGATTGCTGGATGTGGGACTTTATGGTCTTGATTAATCTGATTGTGAATTTTCTTTTATTTTAGGGTTGATTCATATTTGAGTGGGGGTGCTGATTTCTTCTAATTTATTAGATTCACCTGTTTTGTTTGACATGAATAAGATCCTTGTTTCTGTGTTATCATGTCGTTTGATTCATATGCATTTCATGTCTGCTTGGACATTGGACAATTCTCATTATATTGCTTGGAAATATTATCTTCACGTTTTAAGGGTTTCCAGTTAATCTTTTTGTTTGGATTCGCGCACTTAGGATCAGTTCAAGTTCCCTAGTTCATTATGTTGACCGTTGTCTCATGATATTCCTCTGCTGGGTCTTTTTTTAATTCCGTTAATTGCTGTGAACTGTTAACTATGTTTTTTCCTGTGTGTTTTTTGGGGCTTTACCATTTTTCGTCAATACGTATCAGCTTTCATTGTAATGCTAGCAGATACTATTATTTTTAGTAATCTTTTACTCGTAGTGTTTTCTTTTTTGACAAGGAAAACTGTTTGATTTCTCAGTTTCCAGCTTGCCGTGGTGCATGCTCTTCTGGTTCCCATTTATATCATGACTTGAAAGTAGTTGTCACAGAATAGCTGGGCTGCTTGAACTTGGCCTTCATGGAAGAATCTAGTGGTGCACACTTTGGTGGTATCAACAATGCCATAAGGAAGAAAAGGACTCAACCTTTTCGTCGTCCTCGGCTTGATTCACAGGCTGTAAGTGAAAACCGTGAACTTTCACCCTTGTCATCTACCCCTTCAGACGATGTGAGCAAGATCTCTAGTGATGAGAATGGTTGTGATGCTAATCCTGCGAGGAAAGAGTTTAATCTTAATCAAGTTATGTCTAGGCCAGCTTTGTATGCTGATGAATCTGAAAAACCTCATGAAAGGAGTAAAAAGGAGGATGGGGGATTCAGTGCATTCTATAATAATGATTTAGGGCGAAGTGGGGGCAACAATAAACGGTCTAGTGAAGGTGTCCTTGCACCTGCTAATTGGAAAAGTGCAAGCAGGGTGAAGGAAGGCCTAGAATCAGAGTTGAGAAATGCTGACGTATATGGTGGAAGGAACTGTGAGAGCCATGGTTTGGGTAAATTGGAAGTAATTCTAGATGGTTTACAAAATGAAACCAAGGTAAGAAAGGTTAAGCTCAAGGTTGGTGGCGTCACACGAACAATTCATTCTAACTCCACACCTGATCGTGTGCATGGGGATGGGTTTTCCACACAGATTTCTCGATCCATTGATGACTCCAGATCAAGGCAGAAGCAAAATCTTCAGGTACGTAACTATCAAACATATTTCTTTTGAACTTGTTTAGGGACATTGTGTTAGTATCATATTTTTGCTTAGAAAACTGTTTTCTATTTTCGACCTTACGTTATTATTCAAGTATTATTGTGCTATTTACAATTTTATTTTTCTTATAATAAAATTTAGTTTTTAATCTGAGTTTATGATACCTGATGAAGGTATTTTCTTTATTATTTTTCGTTATATTGGTTGTCCTTTCTATCCTTGATATTCTTTTGCGTATTTCACGGGCATAAAACCACATGGATTTGTTTGATTGGCCAAGGAAACTGGGACCTTCATTTACTCTTTTGGAAGGATATCTTGTGTATTAATGTGGTTCTGTCTCCTTATTTACAGCCTATTGTTGTTGGGTAACGTTTGGAATCCGAAGTAATCTCTTTATTAAAACAACTCCTATTGCAGAGAAATGTAGATTGTGCCCAATCCCCTTCAGATAAGAGAAGAGGTCTGCAAGGAATTCCCTGGAAGGATTTTTCAAGTGGCGCTTTTAGTTTTGGGAAAGAGGATTCTGTTATGGGAAGGACATCGGCTAAGAATGCATCTGGAAAACAGGGGGATCGGAGTGGCCCGGCTCGTAAGAGCAAGAGAGTCCCCAAGAGGCGGGTGCTTGATGGGGATTTCAGTGAAGACGATGAAGATGATGAGATCCGATACCTGGAGAAATTGAAATTGAAGGCTCCTACAGCAGATAAGGAAGATGATGAGGAATCAGGCAAGAAGCACCGCAAACTTTCTGCTGTTTCTAATATTTCGAATCTTGGCTCTTCAAAGGCTGGCAAGGATGGGAAGAAGAAATCTAGATCTGATAGGGCATCGGATGATACAGATTATGAGGAAGAAGATGATCAGGTATCTGATAGCGAGCTAGAGGATAGAAAGAATAAGAGGCAGGGGAAGGAATCTGTTGATTCACCAATTGAAACTAAGAGGGAAATGACTCTTACCACTCGTCAACGAGCTCTTCAATCTAGCAAGGATCCCTCTGCTGCTCCTGGTTCAAGATTAATTGAATTTCCCAATGGATTGCCACCTGCCCCACCAAGGAGTTAGTATTTTATTTCTGTCATAAGATTGCTGTTATACTAGTTACTTTCTAAGCCATCGTATTTATATTCTTTTTGTTGATCACAGAGCAAAAGGAGAAGCTTTCAGAAATAGAGCAGCAGTTGAAAAAAGCCGAGGCTGCTCAAAGACGAAGAGATCAAGTTGAGAAGGCCGCTAGGGAATCGGAGGTTTGTTTTTTGTTGTGTTTGCCATTAGCTCTGTTACTTGTGTTTTGAATCCACAGACCCAGAAACATGCATGCTTGGATTGAATTTTGTAGGCTGAGGCTATTCGAAAAATACTTGGTCAAGATTCCAACAGGAAGAAGCGGGAAGAAAAAATTAAAAAACGTCAGGAGGAATTGGCACAGGTATTAGAGACTTATGAGCAAACTATTTGGTCTATGTACTTGGATGAAGCTTCTTGCTAAACATCGTACTTTATGTTGTATGCAGGAGAAGGCTGCAAACGCTTTGATGCTTGGGTCAAATATGATCAGAACGGTCTCAGGTCCCCAGGGGAATACTGTAACATTTTCAAAGGATATGGGTTTGCCAAGTATATTTGATTCGAAACCTTGCAGGTATTTTGCTTGAAAATATAAAGTTTACATCTTGATCCCCTGACATATAATACATACTCATGTCCATGCATTGCATATTTCTGGAAGTTCCCTTCTTGATGGCATGTTTTTTTTTTTTTTCGTTTTATGCATACGTAGCTATCCTCCTCCACGTGAAAAATGTGCGGGGCCATCTTGTACTAATCCTTACAAGTATCGAGATTCCAAGACAAAGCTTCCTCTCTGTAGTCTCAAGTGCTACAAGGCAATTCAGGAACAGCAGCCAGCTGAAACTACCGGCTAATTTGTTGAATATATTACTAGCCTCATTATGTGCAGGTACTGCTGCACATTATTGAATTTATCTTGTATACAGGGATTGGTTGCTTCTCAGCTCATTGTAGAGAAATTTTATACCAACTGGCTTTTGTTTCCATTTCATGTAAACAGCTAAGTTATTAGGATTGAAATTTTGCTGCAACTGGCTGATTTTTTGACTATCCAAAGAGTTGAGCGAAGATGGATGACTTCATTTGAGAATCAGATTATTTTGCGGTGCAAGCTAGTATCTATCTGGTTGAGCTTCAATTTCTGCTGTGTGTCAAAAACAGAAAGAAAATAGCTTTTACAAAATATTATCTTTTTGACAAAAGTCATTTGGGTTTTCATAGAAATTTTTTTGAAGTACTTGAAAGAAATTTATATATATTTGCAGTGAACAAAAGCAGAAAATTCAGCCTGTGCTTTTGAATTTTTCTCTTGTTTGATTGAGCTGTTAGAATGCTACTCAAAGCCTCCATAGAATTGGCAAACATAAAATCTAAACCAGACACGCATTTGCGTGACTATTTTCTTCTTTTTCCGGTCAGAACAGGTGTGCTATTTTCTCTGATTTTGGGACTGTATATCTCGCTTTTGTATGTAAAATGTCTGCTAAAGTTAATTTTTGAAGAATGGCTTGTGCAATATCCCAAGTGCTGGAAAAATGCGTTATGGTGTTGTGGCATTCAAAATGCATAAGCTGTTTTGAAGGAGACTGGTTGTAGCACCCGGAAAGGAGGAGGAAAAAAAAAAAAAAAAAAAAAAGGAAAGGCCACGTCAGCAGTCTCGGCCAATCGGGGCCTGCCACGTGACAAGACCACGTCACTCCGAAAGGAGCCACGTTGGCTATCCGCGTGGGTGCGATCCGACAGCCCAGATCAATCGCGCGATCGGACGGTCCAGATTCAATCGCACGGACGGCCCAGATTCAATCAAAAACGAACGGCCCAGATTCAAACGAAATGGACGGCTGAGATCAAAAGGCAAGGGGTTATAAATAGAACCCCCACACCAGACCACAAACCCTAGCCGCCCGCCGCTCGCCGGAGAAGACGAACCAGAGGCCGACCGCCGCCACCCGCCGCCGCACCGGGGAAATTTTCGACCGCCGATCGAGGTAAATTTCATACCCCCGACTCGTTTTTCCACGCTGATTCCTCCTATGGCCAAATCGAAGCCGAAATCCCGGCCAAAGACCAGCGGCGCCGCCGCGCCCCCTCTCGGTTTTTGCCTCCGACGAGGCCCTTCCCGGCCTCCGTTCGATGCAATTTTTATATCACCGTGATCACCATTCTTTTCTCTACAGGTTGACCGGAGCCGAATCACCAAAACACGAACCTCGCCGGAGAGCCGCCGCACCCGAGAGCGCCGCCGCCGGTAAGCTCCGTTTTTCCGTGATTTTTTGGCCCCCCGAGGGCCCTAGGGTTGTTTTCTCACAAGGACCGATGCGAGTGTGGCCGAATTCGGCCGAAAACGGTCGAAAACAGCCAACCCGAGGCGACTCGCCGCCGCCAGCGGCGGCGCCGTCGCCGGAGCACAGCGGAGCCGCCGTGCCGGAGTTGCGATTTGGGCCGAAAGAGGCCCTGGGCCTAATTTGGGTTTTTTTTGGAACACGTGCAGGTACTGTTAGTGTGTTTCAGTTCTCCGGGAAAAATTCAGGGAAAATTAGGGACGGCCTGCAGGCGCACTGTGAATCGTATTCGGATCCCGAAAACAAGTAAGGACCCATCACCCTATTTCCTATCACGGTATTAAAGTTCAAAATGATAAAACGGTATTTCTTGAATTAACGAATGTGTGAAATTGCTTAAGGTGGCTAATGGAGCCCGAGTCTAGTGTGATTGGTGATTTACTGTTATTTGGCCTGTTTACAGCTTTAAATGCAAAATGAGGTTTGATGTGTTCATTTTACAGATTTGTGTGCATATACTACGTTTTTATTAATCATGGGTTGAATGACTGAAAAACTGATACTGTATGTTGTCTGTTTGGCATGAATTACTGTTTTGCTTGTTTGTATGTGAATTGATGATGCTGACTGAGGAAAAGGAAAATGAAAGATTGTGTAGACTGATAATTGTATTATGGGGGTCAGCCTGACTAGATATCCTGGGAGATGGTGGACGGACCGGGTCCGTAGGGAACCCTACCGGGATTGTGGTCTCACATGCCGGACGGGGTATGGAGATCTTACGGTTTTGGCGCCCATACCGGACGGGGTATGGGGACGGCCCGTTTCACTCTCATACCGGACGGGGTATTGAGGTTTATGGTTTTGGCGCTCATACCGGACGGGGTATGGGGACGGCCCGTTTCACCCTCATATCGGACGGGGTATTGAGGTTCATGGTTTGGCGCCCATACCGGACGGGGTATGGGGACGGCCCTGGAAACTGGTTGTGAATGTTAAAGGTTAACGGGTAGCGGAACCCCTATGGACCCCCACGGATACTAGTAGGCTGGTAAATGAGAAAAAGATATGTTGTACAATGATTGAATTACAAGAGGCGTGATAAGTGTTATATTTTACAGCTTATATTATTCAATGATTATGATAATGTTATTGTTTTTCTTATATTGTTTTCATAAATTCCACCGAGGTAAGTGGATGGTAAAGGTTTTCATGTTAATAAACGAGTTTGTTGTAAATTATGCTCCATTGGTCTTTTTGTGTTCTTCTACCCACCTTTACCTCCGTGACGGTGAGATATCGTGATGTTCTTACTGGGCTAGTGTAGCTCACTCCTTATTTAACCATTTCAGATCAGGAAGACATGGTTTCCGAGCCCGTTCCGCAGGAGGACGACGAAGGGGATGCCTAGAGACTCTGTAGTCATACTCATAGTTTTATTTTCGAGTTTCTCTCTTAGTTAGTTTAGTCTTTTATATTTTAAGTACGTTTTTGGTTTTTCGTGTAAGGGATGTTAACTGAAATTTTGATCTCGCTTCCGCATTTGATATATTTAAATACTCATTTCATTTTAATATTTCCGGGACCGTTACACTGGTTCTATGTGGTGACTGCTTAATCATATAGATGTTATGTACGCCATGTAGGCATATGTTTTGATTCTTTCTGTTGTTTGGCCTCCAAGAATAGTTAGCTATAGATGTAGCTGGAAATTTGCAGGTCTTGAATTGTTGTTATGCCTTCTAGGCCCTCTAGACTTTAGTCGTCTGCCAAAATATTTGATTGGCAAACCGAGACTTTTACTGCAGCTAGCTTTATAGATTCATGGGTTACTGTGGCTGGATTCGTTGTTTGTGATGCTGTCAAGAAGCCACCACTGGCGGTCTACTACAGAAAGGGAAATTTTACAAACAGGGGGTGAAATAGTCTTATTGCACGTACGAATTAAGGTTAGGATTTATCGACCGAGAATAACAAAACAGGTGCCTTCCCCGCTGCAGCACTCGGGGCGACTCCCACCTCCCTTTGCTGCTCTTTTTCCCCACCATTTGTAGTCTACAAATAGGTCTATTTCCTCTATTATTGAAGATCATCGAAAAATCAAACACATTACCTCAAAAAAAATCTTTTCTTCTTTCTCTGTTTTTCTGTCAAGTCTGAAGCCGTAAGTAAGGTTTGTGACAGATGGGGATGCCCAGAGTCAGGGTGATTGGAATTGATGGTTGTAAGGATTTAGTTCTTTGGATTGACTGGATCTCTTAGCATTTGGAACAAGTACTCTTGAGAGTTCAAGATTGGTCTTGTAGGGAAGGATTTATACTCCAGTGTATGGATTCAAACATGTCGTGGTTTTCTTCCTGCCTTGATTTTGTCGACGTTAGATGATTTTCTTCTGTCAGAAAATTGGTTTTTGACTCGGTGAACCTTCTCATGTAAATTAATTTTGTAAGTAACTATTGAGTGGAGATTCTCACAGTTAATTTACAAAAAAAGGATGAGTTTCTATTGCAAAAATAAATTTAAAAAATTAAAAATTAAGGCTTAACATAGTCATTTAAAATTATGAAAATTATTATTTTTTTAACTAAAAATATCTTATTTTAGTTTCTTTTTTAATGTAAAATTTATCTAATTATACATTATCCATAATTCTGTCACAACAAATTGCTTCATAATTGCTACATCAATTTTGATAATTATTACATTTATTAATTTAATTAGGGGTCGAAACAGAATTACCTTTAATTAAATATGTAATCAAGTGAAAAATCATAACAAATTAAAATTTGATGAATATATATATATATATATCTCTTTGCAATAGTATTTCTTATAATAATCATTTTATAGAGCACAATAATGATACAACTTTCAAGACTTACATAGCATTCTCAAACCAAGAATAAAAGGAAAATGATTTTATTGTTTAAAAATATAATTTTGTTGTACGAAAATTAAATATATCTACTTTACCTCAAAAATAATTATTTTGTCTTTAAAAATAAATAAAATATTTTTTAGCTGAATTTCATCGCATAATTTTTATATTATATCAACAACTTTTTACATGATTTATTAATTCAATTAAATTTAAATATAAAATTATTGATAGAAAATAGGTTACAGTATAATTTGAATTTTATTTAACACAATAGTCTTATTTAATAATATTCTAAATATTAGATTATTTAAATATGAAAATATTTTTATTTTAAAAAAAGAAAGATACGATCTTTAATCTGTTGTGATTAACGCAACTAAAAGAACCCTAATCATAGCAAATGTCCGTTAGTCAGAAATGTAATAAATTATCTAAATTATCATTATATTCTATAAATACATAATAATTAAATATTAATTTTATTGAATTAAATATTATACATTAGTGTTATTAGTACATAATATGTTTAAAAGATAATAAACTCTATGTTTTAAATGAAGTTTAAATTCGTAATTTTTAACAATCATACTATTTTGTTTGTTGTTAAAAATTATAAAATTATAAAAATTGCAAAAGTTTACTTACAGTTTTTTAAGAAATATACTAGCTGTGTATTTACCACCAATAAATTATATATTATTATTATAATAGTTAAGATTTTTGTGTTCACGTAAGAGTAAAAAAATCTGATTTTAACTTTTTTATTTTTTTATTTTTAAAGTAAAGTGGGTATTTGAACCCGAGATCCGTTTCATTAAACGGGTCGAACAAGACCCATTTGGAAAACATCCGGGAGTCACTGTTAAAGCTGTTTCTTGCTCCAACACACCACTCTTCCACATACCACTCTATAACCCCTGCAGTTTAGTTGGATAAGGAGCCCGAAACAGTCGCTAAGCGCATCCCGTTGTTCCAGTTTCGTCGACTGCACGAGAGTTTGGGGGGGGTTTATTCTCTGGTCTGCAATGGCACACACGTGCGTGTCGACATCGGCTTCATCCCTCAGATTCAACTCCCTTCTCTTCTCCCCAAACCCTAGTTCCTCTTTCGAATCCCAGAGCCTCTGTCTTCCTTTAGAGCCCCTCCGTTCCAGGTATTATTTCCCTTTTTTGAATTTTGTTGCGGAGAAACTGTAGGTAAAAGAGAATTTGATCGGTTTTTTGAAGCATTTTTAATTATCTCCAACCAAGCAGAGGAAACTATTTAGTTGAGCCAATGATTATTATTTGGATTAGTTATAGGGTTATGCTATGTTATTTTTTCTTCTTTCTTCCTCATTATGAGGTGGGAACAGCTTTTGGTCTTGTATTTTGCCGTGCTTGATATTTATCGGAAGTAATTAGGTGCTGGAACTGTTCTCAAATGTGAGATTTTTTAATGATTTTTTTCGGAATCAATTGTATAGAGGCATGGTACCTTATTTAACTGTAAGGTCCTGACTGGTTGATTTTCTATTGAATTCTTATTTAGTTTCTAACTGTATTAGTCTTGAGAAGTAGAATTGAATTGTCAAAGGATTTCAAAGTTGGGTGAGATAGCTCAAAACACAAAGAATGATTTTATACTTATGCATATCAAGAATAGTATTAAGATTAGAAATAGGAATTAACTAAGAATAAAGGAAAATGAAACCAAGTGACTGTTAAAGTTTGTTTTTTTCTTTTCTTTTCTTCCTTGTGACACTTGATTGAACTCTTCCGATCCAGTATTTTATGCTGTGCTTTTCGGAAACCATGAAGATGGTGCTTCATTTCTAGCAAACTGTTGGTCATCATTCAAAAGAAGTTTTGACAATCTATAAAGTATCAGTCCTTTATGGATTCAAGTTCGTTTAAACAATTACTGTCTGCAATCATTAAGGCCTGCTACTAGAAATTTCGTGTTGTAATATTTCCCTCTAGCTTTTCCTTGTTGGTTAAACATGAGCAAACATTCCTTTTGCATTGTAGGAAACTAAAGAAGCTAGTCAGTAATCAGAAGAAAGTGAGGAACTCAACAGCTAAGGCTGTCTACACCAGTAACTTGTGGATGCCAGAGAGTTCTCATCAAGGAATTTGGTCCATTAGGTGATGTTGATGCAATTATTAATCCCTTTGTATCTTGTAATCTTGATCATTGCTGTTTCTAACTGAGAAAATTTTCAAATCCTCAGGGATGACTTGCAAATCCCGTCTTCCCCTTACTTCCCTGCATATGCGCAAGGGCAAGGGCCACCCCCAATGGTGCAAGAACGCTTCCAGAGTGTTATTAGTCAGCTTTTCCAACATGTATGGATTAAAGTTGATTTTTTGTGGTCATGATCTTCTATTAACTATTCAAGGTAATTTTTGCTTCATTAACTTATATGTTTTGGTCCTTATTTGCCCTCATAGAGAATAATACGCTGTGGTGGAGCTGTTGATGATGATATGGCCAATATTATTGTCGCTCAGCTCCTTTATCTTGATGCTGTTGATCCTAATAAGGTATGCTCGATGTATTCTTTTAGCAACCAATACTTCATTTGTAACTGCTAGATACTCTAAATAAGCACTGGAGTGTTTCCCACAACACCTATGGAAATATTGAATGTACTAGAGTGATAGACTAATTTGAACCTCTCATTCTCTTCCCCTTCCCTTGCGTTAAATTGTGTTATAACAGTTCTTATTTATTTGATGGAGATTCTGAGTGATTCATGTGAATTTCTCAACAGGATATTGTCATGTATGTAAATTCTCCTGGTGGGTCCGTTACTGCAGGTGATTCGCTTTGTGATTCCGCAATATTTTGTTTTCCACAGTGTATGGTAATGTTTGTGTTCCCAGTCTGAGTTGCCTCCATCTTCTTTAGGTATGGCTGTATTTGATACAATGAGGCATATACGCCCTGATGTCTCCACAGTCTGTGTTGGACTCGCTGCTAGGTAAAATGCTTAGTGATATTGCTGTTTCTGATTACTGAGTTAACTTTATGCTAACACTAGCTTTAACTTTACATATTGAATCCTTGGAACTGTTATTCTGTTGCTCTTCTTTCTCCTATCTGGTCCAAGTATGATCTATGGCAGTGCTGTATAACTCTTAAGAAAAGTTTGGATGATGAGCTGTAAATTAGATATGTATTAGTTCGGTCCTGAATGGCACATGATTTTCTGGATTTAAGATTTTATGTTCCCATTTCCTGTTTTATCCCATTCATTTTTCTTCTTATTTTCTCATGCTACTATCTTCTCACAATATCCTAGAAATGACTGTTTGTTTGTCATCAGAGCCAAAACGAGTCCTTCTAGGTCTGCCTGGTTATTGAAGAGTTTGATAATCTGGTTACAGAATAGCAGTATAACTAATCTATTGGAAACGGCTGACCTAACTAAGATGTTAAGGATGCAGCGTAAATAATAGTTGGGAGAAGAAATAAGTTTTTTGATGCCTTTTCTATAAAAGTTATAAATTGAATTCTCAAGGACCAATTTATTTCCTGATGAAATTGAATGGTTGCTATTAATCACACCTTGCTTGCATTATGTAGTGTAAGATAAACCTGGGTGGTTGGGTGATTGATTTGAAATTGAAACTGAAATAACTGGTTTCTGACATGCACTCTTGATGGTGTCATGATATGTTTTTATGTGGTAAGAGTTGCTGCTTATTATGCAAGTGCCTTCAAAGATTGTTTTGTTTGATCTCACTCATCAAACTTGGTGGGTCAATAGCATTTATAAGGTTTAGTTTGCTGGTCTTACCTTTTTTATTTTTCATATAAGTTTATTTGTCTTCAACCACAAATTCTATCTTGGGTAATTTTCGATTCAAGCCTTGTGCATTGTAGAACTGGAGGCTTGTTATTATGTTGCTTCTCAGCCTTCATCGGACCTCTTATTGGATCTTTGCTGCGTTAAGAATCTATTCTTCTGATATGGCATGCTATTAATTTTCTCTAGTTTGGGTTTTATTATAAAACAAGTCGTTTACCTGCTGCCACTGCCCCTTTACTCTCGTACTGCTGTGAAATACAGTGCTTCTGACTACTGTAATTTAATGAATCAAACATAACGTGGTTCTTCCCAGCTTACTAGATACTTATCAACTATCTCAATTGAAAGGTCTAAGGTTCTGGTATATTACACATTCATTGAGTGTTAGGAAATAAAACTGGTTCTTGTTGATGTCCTGTTTAACCGCTTACTGTTTGGTGAGGATTGAGTGTTAGATCATCTGGATCTGGTTGATTTATCACCAGTGGTTACTTATTTTGTGGGGCAAACTAATGACTAACTCATTATGTTTTTTA